AGTATTTTATGTTCCACCGTTGCCTTATTCATTACACCACTAGTGTCACGCCATCCACGTTGAATACCCTCGACAAGTAGTTCGACCAACACTTTCGTTTCATCCAGAGTCCACTGAGTATATTGCTTTTCTTTTTCATCCATTATAATCTTTTTTGAAAACTTATGGTAGTTAGTATAACTAAAAATATGCTAAACAATCAAGCATATGAATACAAACCTTAGAGCTTCACATAAAATATTAATAAACCAAAAAAATCAACAAACATACGTAACTTGCAAAAAGAAGACAAAATAGTAAATAGTCTAGGATGTAAAAAATACAATATTGAAGGACAATAGCATACGTAACTTGGAAATAAGAAAAAAAAAATTGCAACTATTCTAGAATATAACAAAACTATAATATTGAAGAGCAAAGATCTATTACCTGGTGAGTGTTCGTCGTCCAAGAAGATGAAGGAAAAGCTATGAGTTATTCTCTATGTCAAAATACACCAATATAAAGAAATAAATAATGATATTGTTTGCTTATATATGGAAAGCAAACGTTAATCATATATTCATTTTACATTTTTTTTTTTTAAAAGTTATGAACAATCTACTAAAATCTAGAAAAGTTACTACAAAGAATCCACAAATTTAGGTAAACAAATTTATTAGAATCTAAAATAATCTTTGAGAATTTTAAAATCTATCAACTTTTGAAATCTACCAACTCTTTTGGAATCATTCTCCCAATACCCCCCCTTATGCTATTTTACCATTTCCTCCACAACTCATAATAAATCTTTTTTACCTTTTTTTTTTTCTTCTCTTCTTAAAAAAGATTCGGTTTTAGGTACGCGACGGCCCGACCTTGATTATTAGACACACCATTTCTATATACCTCTCTCTCTTTCTCTCCTTAAAACTTCCCAACTTGTGCTTCAAGCTTATATTCTGATCCTTTTCTCTCCTTCATTTAGATCCCGTATCCAAAATCCTCTGTTACTAAGTCTTATAGCTAGATCCATTGTATAAAACAATGCTTAAGAGCGGTGCAATGGATTACACCAACAATATGAAGAGATGTCATGATTACGTCGAAGCCCTTGAACAAGAACAAAAAAAGATTCAAGTCTTTCAGCGTGAGCTTCCTCTCTGTTTGGAGCTTGTTACCCAAGGTATGTTCATTTTTTACATACTATTACACATTTTTTTATGTTTCTTTTGGTTTTTTCATTCAATTCTTAATCGTTTATATTACAGCGATTGAGTCGTGCCGGAAGGAACTATCTGAATCATCTTCGATGTCAGAACACGCTCGTAGCCAATCAGAATGTTCTGAGCGGACTACGAGCGAGTGCGGCGATGCTGCTCCCGTGTTTGAAGAGTTCATCCCAATCAAGTGGACTTCATCTTCATCCGATGCTAACGATAAAGATCATGTAGCTGATCGTGACGAGAGCATCAAAACGAATAGTGACAATAACGCTGGTGGTGATAAGAAGAAATCGGATTGGCTTAGATCTGTTCAGCTATGGAACCAATCATCGCCAGATCCACAACCTAAAGATGATCAAGTCATTATTAACAAGAAGGCAGCTGTAATTGAGGTCAAACGCAACAACGCCGGTGCGTTTCAACCGTTTCAAAAGGATAAACCTAATAAGAAGGCTAATTATAATAATGATGATTCTCCTCAACCGCTGATAAAAGCAATCACCCCGACGCCTACGACGACATCTAGCTCCACGGCTGAAACTACTGTCGGAGGTAAAAACGAGTTTGAGCAGCTGAAACAATCTCCATCTAATAGGAAGCAAAGACGTTGCTGGTCACCGGAGTTACACCGGAGATTCTTGCACGCACTTCAGCAGCTCGGAGGATCGCATGGTAAAAACCATAATCTAATATTTTCAGTTGTCCGAATCAAACTTTGATAACAAAGTAAAAAATACTCATTGTGGGTTTAATTATTGCCAAATATTGCAGTTGCTACACCAAAGCAAATTAGAGATCTCATGAAGGTCGATGGTTTAACCAATGACGAAGTTAAAAGCCATTTACAGGTAACAACAACACCCACTAATCATTTTATGTTTCTCCACTAATCAATGATACTTTTCATAATTTCTAAAGTTTTCAATATTATTGAACTTTCTTGATATTTTTTTACAGAAATATAGACTTCACACAAGAAGACCAGCTACTCCGGTATCAACCAACGTCGGAGAAAATACACAACAACAACAACAACAACGGCAGTTCATGGTGGTTGAAGGCATTTGGGTTCCATCGTCGCATGATGCAACGAACGGTAGAGTATACGCTCCTGTAGCTACACAACCACAGCAACCTTCACCGTCGGGAGAAAGAAGTAGCACGCGTTGCAAATCGCCGGCGACATCTTCTTCAACCCACACACCACACCTTCTCCCTCTTTCCTAAATAGTTCCCCATTTTTGTATGAAAAAAAAAAATGAAAAAATTCGTTTCTTTATGATATATTGTGTTGTGTAACCAAGAATGTTCGTTGTTCTAGGTTGCAAATTTTTGAATAAAATTGTAAAACAGTAGAGAGATTACAACATTACACATTTACACACAACAATAATAAGTAAGGTTTCATTTTTTGGGTATCTTTCGAGTAATTCACATTTGTTTTGTGTAAGACTGTAAGTATGGTAAATGGAAATGGAATTGAACAATTGTATTACAAAGACTTAACTTTAACAAGTAAAAACACTAAACAAAGACGTTCTGGTCCATGGCGGTGGTAAGTAGTAACGCGGTTTGGTAACGGAACCAGGTGGCAACTTGTTCATGAAGAATGGACCAACGACCATTTAAGAGAGAAAACACATAATCATTTTTTCTTCCAATTCAAGGCGGTGATTATTTAAAACTAATTGCAGATTCTTATTTATTTATTTATTAATGTTGAGAATAAATAATCAAATAATTTTCATTGTGGTGTGCTAACGAATATTTTTTCTAAAATTCCATTTTTCGTTTGTTTTCATTTTGAGGTGTGTATGGTCCCCCGTGGCCGAATATTCTGGTTTATTTTTGTTTTTCTTTATTAAAAAAAAAAGAAGAATATATATATTTTGGCCTTTTTCTTGTAACTGATTAGAGAATCACAAGAAAAATGATTCCTTACCCAAAAAAAACATATACTGTATGCTTTTTAATTATGATATCTGTGCTGTCCAAAGTATATCTCTGCCTTCTTTTTGTTTCTCTTGAGTTTTTAGATATTCTCTACCCATTTTAAATTATCTTCTTGTGAAAAAAAGCAAAAAAAATTGGTATCATTCTTTTAAGAGGAATCTTAATTTCTATAAAAGATAAACATGAAAAAACATTTTTTCTTAACATAACAAGTGTTAACGTTCTCGAAGTGTGATTTATGTTTTTGATTCCTATAGGATGTGTTTAAATTCGTAACGAAACAAAAAGTATATCTTTCTCCCGCAGTATATCTATTTAACTTTCATAATAGTTTCACTAGAGTTTTGTTCAAGCTAACCACTATTCTATCATTTCATTATTCATCATTCTCACTATATATCTCAAACTGTAAAGTCATCACAATGTAAATTAAGTTGTAGAACATGAAATCAAAATTATATACTATGTATGTTATGAAAACGTATAGGAAAAGGTATCTTTATAAATAATATATTCAACGCCTACTTTTTCTTTAGACGACTAACTTTTTTGAAGTTCTTGATTAAGTTACATTCTTATTAAGACAGTGATCCATGTAATCAGGAGATAACCAACCCATCGAGTTCAAATCTCTTTGAATTTGCATTAAAACACCCCCTCTAACAAAGAGGTTGGATTAACAAAGCTGACCCTTACCTTCTCCTAAAGGCCAAGGCCAAGTGGCCTTCCCTTTACCTCAAATACAGCTAACCATCTCACCTATTTTATTAAGTTTTCAAGAAGATATACATGTTTTGATTTTAGATATTTTTTTTCCGGGTTTAAAATTGATAATCTTTTTCTTCGGAAATGTAGACAAGATTGTCAGCCTTTCCCTTTATAAACCAAACAAATTGTGACAAAAACAAAATAATAGCATCCATTTTCACTGGTTCAATAACAATCTTTTTGGTATCTAATACTATATATAGTCACTAGGGTGAGAGCATGGACATCGCCGTTAATATCACAAGTCCTACACATTACACTATTTAAAAATAAATCAAATATGCATAATAATAGAAGAAACATTCTTACAAAAGGGACGAAATACGTCCGTCCTTCCGGCCACGTGTACATTGTTGATTGGTTTATGGATAAGTGAAGGAAAATTTGTTTTTGGGGTCGATTCGTGTATTCCTTTTTCTCTTTTTCTCAGAGTCTGCCATTATTAAAAAAAAATCATTTTTCTTTTATTGGATAAAAATAAAATAGCAAATGTTATAAAAGCATGTATTATACTCCATAATATGATTGTGGAAGATGAACGACATACATACAGTCTCCCAAATGTTTCTGAATTTCAACACAAAGAAGATGTTAATCAAACATATACCATTGGTACCGCCGGTGTGGGTTCAAATATCGGCACAACGATTACTTGTTGAACAAGAGTTTGGGATAGACAATCCCATGAACAATTAAAAAAGATTTGATTGAGCATATTTAGAGTACTTTTGGACATCTTCCAGATAATGAAGATTAAGTTCCAAATTTCTAAAAATTCAATAAAATATTTTTTTCTTTGTATGTTTTATGTTTTATGTTTTTAATGTCTTTATCGTATGTTTTATGTTTTTTCATGTTTTTGTAACTTTGTAATTTTTCAATTTTTCCAATCTTAATATGTTATATATTAATCCAATATTTCAAATGTTTTTACTTATAAATTAAAATAAAAGAATTTAAAAAATTGATTTTTTTTAACGTGGGACAAAATACGTAGGACACCAATGCTCGTACATACAAATTAAACATTTGTCCCTTCATCAAAAAATTATTAAAATAACAATGAGACCTAAATCTAAGTCTTACCAATGCCCATGCTCTGAGTCAATGGACATCTATATAATTATGGTCTTAAAATATGCTGAGATGGCAGGTGAGGTGAATGTCATTGGCTTTGGGATTCCAGAAGTTATAATATCTATTTCATTAGTCTATTGAGTCTAGGTCCTTCAAGATGAATTTGGTTTATGATTTAAAGTTAATTAGTTAGGTAGTTATCTAAAATAAATCAATTAGGTATGTGTCAATTGCAACAGCTAATACTAAAAAGATGTTGGTAAAACTTTGGGTGGAGCTTAACAGACTAATTTAGTGGAGTTACTTGCCTTTTTATATATTCACTTAGTATTACTGTAAAAGGAATATACGAATATATAACGTGTGTTAAGAATCGGTTGTGTTGTTTGAGAATGAATACAAAGTGATGATAAAGAACTCATGCAAGCACGACATACTGTAGATAGAATATTGAGAAAATAAAACACAGAAATTGTTTCTCGAGAGACAAGGTCATCTGTTACATAGTAATCTATAACAGTTTTTATTTTATTATCCCAGCTAGGTAACAAAATTTTTATGTTTATATTTCTCTACTTACAAAATATGACAGCAGAGCCTGAAACTGAAAACTACATATTGAAGACCAAATAAGAAATAAAGACGTATTACTTATCTTATGTTGAACGGGAGCCGCTACGTATATGTTATACTAGATAGTAAAGGTTACATCGAATATGTAATTGTATTTTAGCTGTTACGGTTCGACCAAATGTTAACAGGAAAAGAAAATGTGATATGTTGAACTGTTCGAGTGATAACACATATGTGTAACAATTATCATTGATGTTCCTTGTAATATTTGGACAAAAAAGAAAAGAGTCAGAAGTAATAACTCACAATGAGTTGGGCTATTGTACGTGTGTCAAACTCAATTTACATTTCAAACCCAAAAGACATAAAAAAATAGATTACATGTTTCCATAAAAGAATCGACAAACGTTAATGAGCATGGACCTTTTTATACGTGATGGGCTTTAAGTCATTAGAGCAATATTCATCAAGACAGTTATTTTTGCTAATTAATCTTTCTCATTATAATTATGTTACGGTTTTATTAGTAGGTAACAATTTCATCATATACTAGATTTTGTTTTTCGTCTTATACGTACTTTCATTAACTTATCTAAATATTTCAACATTATAATGAATTATAAAATATCTTGACAGTGTCACGTACATGTTTGAAAATATAAAAACTGTGGTTAATTATTGTTTATGAGACAAAAACAATACATGAACCAGTGTCTACTGCACATACATTTTTGTGTATAGTCCTTTAAGATCTAATTGAGTCTTTTAAAAAACACAACTATACTTCGTGAAATAAATCAAGATGCATGAATCTTACGACATAAGACAAACAATTATCAACTTCGAGATCATATAGTACTTGCATTAAATATATAATTCAAATGGTTTCTAAAACCGTAATTTAGATTCCGTGCATGTTCTTAATTATTTTTGGTCAGTGTTTTCCACAAATCGTACATGAAAAATCAGTTTTCAAACTTAGTTTAATAAAGCAACGTACAAAATCTTTGAACAATCGATGATGTTGTTCTCCGTTTAAGCATCTCGACCACATAAATAGATTTTTCGTATCGCACCCACGTTTCCTTATTGGCCATGTTGACATTTAACTATACTATTCTGTTTTCTTGATCGTTATTAAGATAATTTTCTCCAATAATGTACATATGTAAGTGCATGCATTAATTTTATTAAAGATATTATATACTCTTTAACAAATTGTATTCCAATTGAAATATATGCAATAAAGATAGGTGAAATAAGATCAAGGTGGAAACTAAACACTTCATAATATTTCAGCAAAGGGTGAAAAACAAACCCTAATTAGATGTAAACAAAAACTATTTTCTCTAGTTGTCATTTTTTTCTTGTCATGTCCTAATTTACAACTTGCCAATTTAATAGAGAAAAGAAAAGTAAAAAAGAAAAACAATTTTTAAAAAAAAAATGGAAATTGTCACAAGATGTTAATGATCGTCTGCTTCTTGGAACACCCTAACGAAAACAAATCATCATCCCGAGATCTCTTCTTGCCACCAGTACAGTCCACTGCGACGCCGTTTGGTCTATCATTGAAAATGTTGACTCCGAAAAGCCTAACCACAGTCTGAACCGGACTAGACCGGACTTTCCAGTCGATATACAATTGCCGGTCTGGTCCGGTAGATCTCTCGAAACAAACCACATCACCGGCTCGCAGATTCTTCTCTTTAACGAACCGGCTCCACCCCTTGGTCAACACGTAGCTTTGACTGCTGTTCCAGTAACTGTAACGGAACCGCCACACTTTCCCTGTCCTGTCTTCCAAGTTGATCAACAAACCTTTCGTCGGAGACGGATTCATCCCCGTCGCAGTCGTCATCGCCGGTAACGGAAAATGCTTCTCCGCGTGTTGTTTCGGGATCACTAAACGGTTCAGTTTCCCGACGTCACTCGGCGTAACAGCCTTCTCGAACAAAACCTCACGAGCCTTCGAAACAGCGTCGTTTAGCATCGCCGCGTCCGATCCAC